CCCCCCCCCCCCCCCCCCAGAATCTCCAAATCAGCATCATAGTTATGTGCCCTGGCATGCCCTGAGCATGGGAACACAATGGAGGGGAGCAAGGGGGTTTTTGTGCCACTGTTTCTGGTTCAGCTGAGGTTTCCAGCTTTTTGCAGGTTAGTTTGACATGTTAACTGGAAATTAAGTTACTGGTTTCTTTTCTTTTTTTTGCTACAATGTTTTATATACTGTGCTTTGAGACCGAGAGACTTCTATACGTTTAGTAAAGCTAGACTGAACTATTCCGTGAGGATACAAAAGGACCTTACCAAGGAGCTTGACATGTGGTGCACAGGTGATGCTAGCAGGCACATTTTAAAGCTCAGCCTTTTACTTTAACCTATAGGTTAAATATAGTTAAAATCACCAAAGCTCATAATAGCATCTTTCTAAAGGCAGCATAAAAAGTAATTTATGTTACACTGTATTTTAAGGATCAATGACAGTGAAAAGCATTTATCTTAAAGCTGCCGTATTTAATATACAAGACGCTGGGATGGTTAATACTTCACAATGAATTATAGATGGGAGATTTGCCCACTTAATGTAGGGTTTGTTTTGTCATTGCTTTGCATTTTGGTGTGAAATAAGCCTGATGTATGTTGCATTAGAGATGAAAACCTGTGTGCTCTCGGTGAATGCCTTACCTCCTCTATTACCACCAGTTTATTCATCTTCAATTTACCACTTCCATTCTGTATTTATTAAGATGATGAAAAAAAGGAAACATGGCTGTTAGCAATTTCAGCAACCCCATTGCGCTCACATTATTCAAGAAACCTAATAATCCACATGAACTAATTCTGACTTACTGATGGTCTGCTTCACTAAATCAGAGTGATTTTTTCTAGTGAATAATGGACGATGTAGTGTGCCAATACCTTAATTAAAGAGAGCCTCTCTTAGTCTTGATCTCATTTTAATTTACAGGGTAATACTACAATAATATCACTAATGGAAGGTACATTAAAGGGCATCAAGTAGCATTAACTGTATTAAATTATGGCACTTGTGTTAATTAACTGCTGAAGCAAGATGGTCCTAATGGCTAGAAAGGTCGACTAATGCATAAATAAAGTCTTCCGGGATGGGAAACTAAGAAAGAGCAGACATTTTTCCCCTCGTCTGGCCTTGCTGCAGAGAATCAGAGGGTGTCCTGTGTAGTAACCTCGGGAAGGTTTCTCTCACTTCCCTGCCTGCAGAGGTGGCCTGGACTGTCTGCGAGCTCTGCCTGTCTTTGATTCCATGTGAAGGACAGTCCTGGCAGTAAGCTGTGAAGCACAGCTCCTTTTTTTAACTTTTCTTTTTTTTTTTTTTTTTTGGTAGGAGAAGTTTACCAAAATGCTGATAATAATTCCTTTGAAGTCAAGCAAAAGGTTCCTAGCAGATTTTGGATCAGGCTGCTAAAGGTTTAACCATGTTAATTCCAAAGTATTTTTGCTGTATTTTATTGTCAGTGACATGTACATTTATACCCAGTAAATTAACTGTAACTTGGAATGCTAGTAAAAAAACATTGCTGCAGTGTGTGACAGAATGACTAGCTTGCTAAAACAAAAGATCTTATTGCTTTGGGGTGATTAGGTTTTGATCTAAGAGCTACCAGTTTCCTTCTGACACCAGAATATCCAGCCTCTGTACAATGTTATTAAGCCCTTTGGAATTTATTTTTATACTCTTCTTGCCTTGAAGCTTCTGTATTTAAGCCCCAGGGTTTTCTGACCCTGTCTCAGCTACAGTTGCAGTTCCAGCAGCAATAGAAACCTCTAAGTCACAGTACGCAAGTGAAAAGTATCCTCAGTTTTAACAGTTTCTTGCTCTCACGTTCTCTCTTCTAAATTTAAATCCATCTCAGAATCTGGATAAATTACTCTGAAGGAAAGCATATTTGCTACTTACAGGATTGGGGCTTTTTTGTGTGTTTTCAGTCAGCCTGCCCCTCCTGCCAGCTGAGATCCCGTAGCAGTCAGTGTTGCTGTGGTGGGTTTGGGGCAGGTGGGTGCCCTTCCTCTTGAAAAGCGCGGATCTGCCCCCCTGAGTCGGGAGTTCGCACCGCAGCCTGCAGCGGGCGGTCACAGCATGAAGGCTGGGGTTGTACCAGGTTTCATCCTCTGGCTTATTCTACAGATCCATTCTATGGCTGGATTAATTGGATTAAATCTCTATGTTACTCTGGCATGCACTTGACAACGCTGTAATAATATCCCTCTGTGATTTATCCAAAAGCAGAACTTTGCCCTAGGGAAGTGGTAATATATAGAAGTGCTTTAGTTTTATTTATAATAGAAAATGTTTTCATTAATGTTCAGCTCAGAACCAGACCATCAATATGAAGATATGTAGGCTTCAAGCTTTTAAGGAGACAACTGAATAACATTCTTGTTTCTAGTATTTATTTACCATACTTGAATACTCTTTGTTTTAAGAGAACACTTGCATAAGCAGCTTATTCTCCTTTGAGATTTTCACTAGTATTTGGAGGGAATATAGCAGTTTCTCCAATTAAATTATGAACTCATTAGAGAACAGAAAAGAAAAAAAAAATGTATGTATTTAAGAGCATGTCAATTTATCTTTAACTCCCAAGTGCAATTAGCTTTTTTAATGTATCTACTGTAACATGTCACTAAGGAAAATGGTCCTTCGTTTTCTGTGAACAAATCTAGGATCATCAGGAATTGAAATAGTTAAGTGGTCACTGTGTTTATTCACACATGAGCAGCCTCCAATAGTTTACTCAGTATAGGTGTCCTGGGTGGGTTTTACTCC